AAGCTGCGGATTTCATGCGCTCAAACACTATCAAACTGACAAGATCGTTCACTGTCTATAGCCGGGTACCCATTTCCACCTGGGTAAAATGACGAAAATCTATGTAAAGTGACTTTCCCAAGGACACAACATCAGGCACCTAACGGCATTCGAACCCACCACCTTTCTGCTGCTAGCCAAACAGTCTAAAAACACAATACCAACACAATAACGGTCATTTTTAGTCTGAGTCGACAGAATAGAAGCACATGGGCAAGGTCACTTTTCATTTATCCCTACTTATCTTTTTACGTTAAATGACACAGTCTAAAATGTCCAGCTGTCTATGGCAAACACTTTTCTCTAGGAAAAAGATTCAGTCATCTTAGACAACTCTGGTTGTAGCTGTTATATTTCTTTAATACTTACTGTGGAATAAGTTCCTTTTGCATTCAGAAACACATCTGTGTTGTTACGGAAGTCAAAGTATTTCACTGGGAATAAAAAGAACAGAAAACTTATTAAGTAATTTAAATTCAAAGTAAAACTTTGGCAAGCTAACCAACTGTTGTAGTCCTAGAAAGCACATTTTTCAGGCGAGAGAGAAGTTGTTATTGATCCAGCAACATCTAGGCTCTCGCCCTTTTGTCCAATGCCATGTAGTAATAAGTGCAGGTTTGCTGCAGTTGCTGTAAAGTTCCATAGAGAGGCGAGAGAGAAGAAAAAGTGTTTCATTCTTTGAAAATAATTGTATAACTACATTATGTATTTTCTTTTCTTTTTTTCAACATTTAGAATTTAAATTTAGATGAAAATATTCTCAACCACCAGCAACTTGTTCCTTAAATTTTAAAAACTGCAATTAAAGAATGTTCTCAAAACTTTTAGCTTAGTTAATACGTCTGATCAGCTGGCCGGCCACATTCAGAATAGCTAAATGATGGGAGGTCTTGTTGAGTCTAATACCACTGAATGCGTGGTTCATTGTAGAACCATTCAAACACAAATGAGTACACAAAAAAGCAGACCTAAAGGAGATGGGATACAGCTGGACAGAGGGGGAGACTATAGCTCAGGACAGAAGTAGATGGAGAGCTCTTGTTGGTGGCCTATACTCAAGCACGGGGTGATAAAGGATTATGATGATGATGATGATGATGATGATGATGATGATGATGATGATGATGATGATGAAGGTGATGATGACGACGATGAATAATGATGATGATGATGATGAATGATGATGATGATGATGACAAAAAACAATCATTACTCACTGTTAATCTTGGAGTAGTAGTCCTCACGACTGCCGTAGTATCCAAAAAATGAGTCGAAGCCGCGGTAGGTCGGAGTGCACTTCCAGTTACACATACCCAGATGCCACCTGAAAGGTAATTTGTTTCGTATCGTAAGAGTTATACGGCACTTGCAACACAAAAAGGTCATATAAGTGAAGAAGACTAGAGGTATTACAAGGGAGTAACACACACAAAAAAGAAAGAGGGGAGATTAAGACGATAGATGTTTGATAGGAAAGAAGGAGCAAACCACACCAGAGCACCCACTAACCACCCACTGACATGTGAGAAAAACAACATTATGTAGGTGGTAAGTGAAACCTCCAGTGGTTAGTGAGTTCACGCTCGTCACAATAACATCAAGTGTAAGTTGGTGACAGAAAGACATACATCCATATTATCTTGTGATATAAATCAAATTTTAAAAAGAGTAGCGTGTTTCCTTCTCACTGTTTGGAAAATGATGTCGGATAAGGTTAGGTGGGTGGTCACTGGGGTGTGTCCTTGAGCATTACACGATACGCCAAGATCAAAACAGGACGCGACAAAGTTGCCACCAGCAGTGGTGTGTAGATTGTCTATGTTTTAGTTAGTTTTTGTAATAGTTTTACGGCACTTGCAACCCAGTAATGTCATATAAATGCCGAAGAATAGAGGTGTTACAAGAGAGTAACATACACAAAAAAAGAAGCAGGAGAGATATGGACGATAGATGTTTGATAGGAAAGAAGAAGCAAACCATACTAGAGCACCTGCCAACCACGAAATTGTTTTTGTGACATTGTGTTGTTAATAATAATGTACAGTATAACATGGATACGTCAATATATAAGAAGACTCGAAATAATGCATCCATCGAACTGTGCCTGCGGTCCTTCCTTTTTTTTCTCTTCTTCTTCACATTTGTAAGATATCCCTCGAACTACGGATCCCTCGAACTACCGAGGCCAGTCCCAATGAATTTGAGCTATCCGCATTATGCTGTATTTGTGTATTTATGTACATCATTGTAAATCAAAGTTTTATTTGTTCAATTTTTAAAGTAAATTATAACCCCTCTCCCCCCTCCCCCTCCCTCCCACTCCAAGAGACAACTCGAGACTGTGTTGGAGAGAGGATGTACTTGCCCATGGCATGTGGCAACAAAAAATCAACAACAATCAACAACAATGTAACAACATCAAAAACAACAACAACAGTATGACTTTGTGTTGACGAGACGACCTACTTTCCCATAGCATGTGTAGGAGAGAGGATGTACTGGCCCATGGTGTGTGACAACAAAAAAATCAACAACAACAAGAACAACAGCAACATGAGCGTTTCAAAGAGATGACCTACTTTCCCATGGCGTGTGTAGCGTAACCGTGTGACCTCATGACCTCTGGCAGAAAAGTCTTGTTGAGGGGAACACACACAGGGACCTGGGCCCAGATTACCATGTGCTTGGGGGAGAGAAGGGACATTTTTTATTTTTTTTACAAGAGGTTTTACGGCGCTCACAACTGCATAAGGTCATATGAGCGCCAGAAGATTAGAGGTGTTACAAGAGAGTAACAGACATAAAAAAGAAGAAGGGGAGATGAGGACAATAGATGTTTGATAGGAAAGAAGGAGCAAACCACACCAGACCACCTGCCAACCACCCACCGAGAAGGGACAGGGGGAATGGGGAAGAGGGTGGGGGAGTGGGTGGGGGAGAGGGTGGGAAAGAAGGGAGAGAGGGAATAATGGAATGAAGTTAATTTTCAGAAAGCTAGATATTTAATGACACCAACAATTTTCAGAAAAACATACATCCACATCTCGTGATATGTATCAAAATTTTTACAAGAATGGTGTATTTCCTTCTCAATGTTTGGACAGTGATATTAGATAATTTTACATCCACCCACACACACACATATACCTGCCCACATACAAACACATATATATGTATTATAATTTTAAACATGCGCAACTAATGCACACTTATACACAGACACAACGTCATTCACACACACACACACACACACACACACATGCACACACACACACGTAGGCTAATGCACATACACACTCCCACGCACCTGCACAGTAAAAAACTAACACATACACACACCCATACACACACTCACAAATATACATACACACAAATGTATGCTCACATATACATACGCACGCATAAACTCATAAAAACACACATACACACAAACGCACACAACAATGTTGATGACTTTCTAAGATGAAGGTGATGATGATGATGAAGATAGGATACAGCTGGATAGAGTTGGAGACTTTAGTCCAAGCCAGAAGAAGGTGATGGAGAACTCTTGTTGGTGGCCTATACTCCGGCACGAGGTGACCAGGACCAGAAAAAAAATATCTAAAAAATAGAAACCTACGACAATTAACTTCCAAGATTCTCTAGTTCCAGACAAACATACCTGTAGGCCCATCCTGAAGGGGTAGTAGCCAGTCATGAAAGCACTCCGTGACCTTTGGAAAGAGGAAAAAATAGGACATGATTAATAGCAATAATACTAGCAACAACAATGGTAATATTAAAAAAATAATAAGACTAACGAACAATTAAAGGTGATGATTATATAAATAGCATACATAACGATAATGCTACTAATAAAAATGATATCAACCGATAATAATAAAAATAATAGTAATAATAATAATCATAATAATAATAATCATAATCATAGTAGTGATAAAAGTTTGACTGTCAATGTCTAAGAAAGCCCAAAGCATCTGCAAAGAAGAATATTTCTTACAGGGAAATAGAAGAAATAATGATTAAGAAGACTTGGGGCTTCTTCTATAGTCAATGAGACAAATTCTGGCACAAAAGATTTTGCAGCATTTCGAACATTTGAAAAATAATTTCCATTTTGGATGTGCGCAGCTTGCAGAGGTGTTTTTCTTGGTTTCAACATTTCTAATTCGTGAAACCTCATAAATAGTAAAGGGACATGGTAAACAATAATATTGATAGCAGTTGCTGTCCATAATTGATTTATGGATGGAGTAAAAAAGTAAAGTATAGCCC